CCGCTGATCCGTACTGCGAGAGCAGCCGGCGAGTCACGGCTGCCTCGTTCTCTTTATTAAAACGGGGGATTTTTAAATTTATTTTTTTTACTGTCATATTACTTAGCAAAGTTAATCAATAAACAACTGTTTCTTTGGCAAGGTCTTTCCTCTGGTAATGCTCTTTCTATCTTTACTAGTCTGAGTCGACAAACGTACTATGTCCGTGCCTTGCTGTGAGCTGCTGCGTTCACTCGCTCTGTGTATGCTTTCAGATCTGGGTGCTGCCCGCGCTGCGCCGCACAGCTGCTCACGTTGCGTTTTCCTGTGAAAGGGGATTTTGCTGGTGCATTGGCTTCTTTGCTGCCTGCCTCTCACAGCTGCTTTTTTTTCCTTTCTTTTTTTTTTTTTCACCTTCATCCATTTTTTTTCCCCCCTCTCTCCTACAACTTTTTGTTTTCTCCTTTCTTTGAAGGTTGTCAGACGTTACCGAGTCGCCCACGAGGTATATCTCATTGCTGTCAGCATCAGCTTCGATCTGATAGCTTTGTTGTCAGCCTTGCTTTCTCCTGTTTGATTTAGCCTGCATGCGTCCCCAACACCTCTAATCTTTTAATTTACCTCACCTTCAAATAATTTTTTTAATGACTGTTGCAGAGAATAACTTGAACTCAAAAACTAACCGCCTTCCCCCAAAATGTACTGAATCTACTTAGAGAATATCGTTGACTTATTCTTCACCCACACTAATGAGTTTACCCGAAATTTTGCCACCCCTTCCCTTCCCGTATTAGCCCTTGAGATCCCAACTGGCTCTGGGCAGGTGGTCCCCTGCGCAGAGCCAGCATGTCCCCAGCCCCACAGACGCCTTCGGCACCAGCAGCACTTGGGCACCACCTTCCCTTTGTCGTATTTTTCCACCTTAATGGATTTTTCTACTCTAGTATTTCACATCTGGTGAAGCTGGAAATCACAATCCACTTAAACACAAAACGCCTATCGACAGCCGAACTGCAGATTTCCTAGTACACTTTCCAGAGATTTTAATTTAGAAATGCTTTTATGTAACCACACTGATTTTTCCTCTTGAAGTACATTTTGTTCCCCCTTCGCTGGTTCCACAATCGGCACTGCCCTCTTGTGGAGATGGCTCCCGACATTGCCCAGACCACCTTGGTGATGGTGATTTAGGATTAGCCTTAATGACTGCAAAGGAAAACCATTGCCCTGTGGATGACGATAATTTAGGCGCGAGAGGAATTGTCAGCTCCATCATTTGGAGCTCTCTGCCCTTTGACCATGCCAAGTTGTTCTCTCCAGCAGAAATTCCCACCCCAGGATATTTTTTCCACCCAGCTTCCTACCACCCTTGCATTGTATGAGTTTTTTACCCATCATGCATCCTGTACACTACAGGTCCAGCAACATGGGCGATGGCAACCTCCAAACCAGACATCATGATCATCCTGTTGAGCAAGCTGATGGAGGAAGGAGACATGTTTTATAAGGTGAGAATCGGAGTGTTCTTGGAAAAGATTCAGAGAATCATAGAATGTCTTAGGTTGGAAGGGACTTAAAGAGATCATCTAATCCCTGCCAGGGGCGGGGATGCCCTTAACTAGACCAGGTTGCTCAAGTTAAAATTGAACAGATGCAGCTTGCAGCGTAACTTTGTACGAGGTTTTGACTGAGCAGTCCTGCTGCCTCAACCCATGGCAAGGAAAATCCGCTGCTCACAGCGTTCCTCGTGTGGCAAACTGGTTTTGGTTAGTGGGGCTGGGGAGGGGAGGGGGATCGATTGCCTAAATCTGTAAGGAAGCTGAAGCAAAGCCAGGTCTCTCTGCATTCTGGACTGGAGCCAGCGCTTCATTTCCTCTTTGAAAACACCAGAACGCAAGTGTTTTACAGAGATTCCGAGTGTTGCTGTCGTTGCATCAGATCTGGCAAGGTTGTCCTTACCTAGCAGGCTCACTGCTGTGGAACAAGGCAACAAGATAGTATATCACCAAAAAAAAAATCTCGTGGAAGAAACTTTTTGCAATGAAAACAGATTGTGAGGACACAGATGGCTTTGTTGTGTCCTTTAGCCCATGGGAGACATTCCACCGTTAGAGCTAGGGAATCTTTTTTGCTCTTTGTTTATTTAAAGCCGATCTTTAAAACCTGAAGATTTGCACACACACACACACAAAATGTGCAAGTACAACAATGATTCACTGTTAGGCTCTAAGGGTGAAGCAGAAAATATGCGAAGCTGGCATTGTAACTGGAGTTATCTGCCAGAGATGCATGATACAGCTGAGAAACCTGAGTCTCCGAGGTTTGAAAGCTTGCTCTTCGTAGCTGCAAAATTTATGTCTGGGTCATCATTAATTGCATGCGTCCTAGATCCCGTTTTGCCCTCTTTCTTTCACCCTCGCTGCCATGGCTGTCCCCCTCCAGGGTGCAGATCATCCCATCCCAAAAATAGGTGCCCAAAATAGCAAAGATGAGTCACCCTTGGAAGGTGACTCTTGTGTCCCAATAACTGTAATAGGAACCCAGTTGACGGGCTTAGGTGTAGACACCTAATTTTTAAACATCTGAAGCCCAGGGAGATGAATCCAACTTCAGAGCCACGTTGATGCCATAACCTTTATCTTTGCTATCGCAGAGGCTTCTCTGAGCCCCAGGAACTCCACCCAAAGTCCCACGCTTCGTATTCTTTACCCTCCCTGGTGCTTCCTAAGCTTTGGGTGTAGGGTGTTCTCCCGAAATGAGTTACTGATCACACAGCTCAAAAGACCATCCATTCAGAAACCAGATGGAGTCGTATCGAGTTCACACGATTTCTGCTGTGTTTTCCCGCTGTAGCGTGACGACTCTGGGCGAAGTGGGAGAACTCAGCTTGCGCAAGGCATCTGCATTTCCAGCTTAGATGTTCCCTTGATCAAATGTCCTGGCTTTCCTTTCTAGAAAAGCACTAAACAGTGGAGTCGTGTTCCCTTAACCGCCTAAAACATTTGTGGGGCTGGTGAGCGAGTTCTGTGCCGTGAAGTAAACTCAACCCAAGGATGTGTTTTGACTTGTTCTCCTTCTATTAGAAAGGTAAAGTGAAAGAGGCTGCCCAGCGCTACCAGTATGCTCTGAAAAAATTCCCCAGGGAAGGGTTTGGAGAAGACCTGAAAACCTTCCGTGAGCTGAAGGTGTCGCTCCTTCTCAACCTCTCGCGGTGCCGGAGGAAAATGAACGTAAGTGTCCCCACTCTTCGTGGCCTTAAGCGCAAGCCACCAGCTTTCTGCCCGTGCACAGAGACACGTCCCTCCTGTAATCGTGCCTTGACCTGAGATCTCTCCTCTGTGTAACCTGGTTGTCCTTCACAGAGCACTGTCAGTTTATAACGCAAAAGAAGTCATGATTTAATATGCGTTTCTGACGATTAAAAATTCATTGCCATGTTTATAGCTTTTTGAATTTTTTATTACTCCCCTTTTGATGATGATGTGAATTGGAGGTGGAGGCGTTTTCCAGATTTCTAGGGCAGCGCTGAGGGAGGAGCCAGGAGATGCTCTCCTTTGAATACTAATTAATTTAAAATGAAGGAGCATATGCTTAGGGGGCTAGCACTTCCCCAGGGCAGTGACTCATCCAGAAACACCCCCACATACCCCCTCTCCTCCCAGAACTGCCAGATCCCTGTCACTCTCCCTGCTTCAAGCCAGCAGCATCTAGGGACCGGCGTCTGCAGCAGGTCTGCAGACAAGTGCCACCTCCCCTTGCCCTGCAAGCTTTCACCTCTACAACTGCCAGCCTCCTGAGGCTTGACAAGTGAAATCTCTGCCGAGGCCACGAGCTGGCACAGATTACTCTGGAGGGGACAGGGGTTTCTTTAAGCTGCGAGGGAGAAAGATGAAAAGCGGTGGAAGTTCAAATCTGAGTGCTGGTGGACGAACAACACAGTTTGTAGAAAGTACGTGAACCTTCTCTTTAAGCGAGCTGACTTGTGGCTGAGCCTGTGCTGTAAGGACCGTGGTTTTGCTTTATTGTTAACTGGGGAATCCCAGGTTTTGTGATAGAAGATTTCAGAAGGTTGTAATGGCTCCTGCAGTTTTTGCACCTACAGATAAGAGACTATAAAGGTACCTCCCTCTTGACTACATTCCCAGTTTAGTCTGTTAGGCACGATCTCTTCAGTAATTGCTACTCAAGGTACAAATACAAGTATGAGCTACCATGTACAGGATGTCCAAATAGCAAAAGCTTGTTTATGGAGGCTTGAACAAGTCAGGAATACTCTTTGGTACCTTCTCCCAGAACTGCTGAGGGTCATAGCCCTCAGCAAGCCAAAGAAGTGTATGGCTGTGAAATGGAAGGCCCTCCACTGGGAAGAGGTCTCCTGAGCTTCAGCTGAGCTTGGTGGCCCGCAAAACATTCAGGACAAGGCAAGGGGGAGGATGACTGGCGGGGTTTGAACCACAGCTGACAGTCTGATCTCGTGGCGCTGCCACTCAGAAGCACCTGGAGAAGTCTCCATCCCATGCTGTCACCCTCTTCCTCCCCACTCCCAAACTAGTCTCCCAGGTGAGGAGGTGTAGGGGAGAGGCAAGGAACGGTGGAACGGGGGCCCTGGTAGGAGACCTTTGCCAGGCAAGTCCTGTTTGTAGGTACTGAGACACCATAGTCCCTTCCTTCATCTCTATTCAGCCCCTTGGAAGTACATCCGTGTGTTGCAGAGTGGGAAGCAGAGGGCGTGGGAAAGGTTTCCTATTGCTTTCAACCGTGGAAAAAAAAAAAATATCCTTCATGAGATTACATTCCAGCCTTTGCGAGACCAGATGTTTCCTCCAAGACTGTAGGTTGTTGGAGAGGGATTGCATGCACTTGTTGGGGACACAATCAGTGAGAACAGAGCCAGTGGCATGCTGGCCTCTGTGGGGGCTGACAGCGTGCAGAGTCTTTGGACATGCCATTGTAGCTCTCTGGCTGTAAATGATGTTGACTCCATGTGAAACATTCCAGTACTATCAAGTTTTCCATGGTACATGCAAAAAAAAAAAGTCTGTATTAAGTTTGTTTGCTTCCAAACTGTATTTTTATTTCTGTATCTATTCAATTACTTATCTGCACACCTATTGTAATGACAGGATTTTGGAATGGCGGAGGAATTTGCTACTAAAGCACTGGAGCTGAAACCGAAATCTTATGAAGCTTACTATGCAAGAGCAAGGGCCAAACGCAGCAGCAGGTGAGGAGGGACAGAGAGAAAAAGTGCGAGGGGCTGGTCTCTTCCAGCCTGGCCACAGTCATGTAGGCACCCACCGTGCAAAACCGTGCCAGTGTCCCCAAGGGAAGAAATGGCAAAGAAATGAGATTGCAAACCTCTCAAAGTGACATCCTCCCTCATTTGGTCATTTCTGGAGGCAGCTGAATGCAAACGTTTTGAGAGGTTCATCTTAGCTGAATTTCTTCTGAGCATCTTACTCCATTGGGAACGCTTACACCAAAGTTGGGTATTCTTTTTTAAAAACATGGTTTAATTCCACCACAGCCTGGACTCGAAGCCAAGTATGACTCTTGGAAGCCCTGTGGCCTGTGTTCATGTGAGAGGGTAGACTCCTTCAGCACGGTGAAGTCTTCTGGCCTTAAAATCTATGCATCTCTCAGTCGTACAACGCTTTTTGCGAGGCAGAAGCTGCTGCCAAGCTGTGCAGTGACTGTGCAGGCAAGCGCCCGCTTTCAGCCGTGGCTTCTGCTCAGAGCACTGCAGCCAGCTTCCAGAGAGCTGCGGCACTGGGATCTCTGCATCTCAGATGGAGCCTGGAGGATTCCCCTGTTAACCTCCCCAAAGGCTAAAAGATTGGCTCGGTTTCAAAACCGATCGATGCCATTCCTAAATGAATGGGAGGCCTTGCTTTTGAGCCCCGTGCTCGAGGGCTGGGCGCGCTGTCGTTGCGCGCATCTCGGTTTTGAGCGGTGCCTCGCACGGGGGTGCGGAGAGCCGCCGGTGGCTGGAGGTGTCCACCTGTGCAAACATTGTAGCTTGGCAGGCGCCACCACCGCTCGACCTTCCACGCTGGAGGCGACGCGTGGAAGCAGGCTCCTGGCCCAGCTGACGCTGCGCTGCCTTGGCCCACCGGCTCTGCACGTGGGAGGTGAAGCCGTGACCTGTTCTGCAGACAAGCCCTGCTAGCTGAGCCACACTGACCTAATGCCTTTCCTTTAATGGTTTTCCCCTCCATTGTCTCCAAACCACTTGTAAGGAAGCGTAAGAACCGAGTTCCTTTCCAGATGATATCAGCCTCCTCACACACAAGTGGCCTTTTCTCCCCAGGTCTCCCCAGCAGAATCTGTCATCACTTGGACTTTACTTCTCTGTTTCCCAGTTTGTGCCCAGCAGCACCGCTGAGGGCAGCACAGGCTGGGGAGCAGGATGTTTTTCCTTCCTCCACCAGCTTTTCAATGGCTTGTGCAAAAGCTTGGGAGGCGCTGCGGAGCTTTTCCCCCAGGTGACAGTCACACTGAAACAGATGGTTTTGCTCAAAAGCAAACAGTGTCCCTGTAAACGACAACCCCCTTCCCCAAACCCCCACCTCCCTTTTCCTCCTCGCAGGCTGGCCTTTCCCTTGCAGAGGCTTCCCTGGGAGGGCTCCTGGGCTCCCCGATGTTGCTCGACGTTGCTCGATTCCCTCGTTCTGAAGGAGCCAACCAAACCCATTGCAGAGTTAGAGAGACAAGCCTGACCTAAAGCTGACCCATGGGAGCCCCTGAGCTCTGGAGCCAGCCCTGACGCTGTGTGGTCCTCGCATCGGGCAGAAGTTAAATTTTCCCTGGCGTCAGGGGTTGCGACTCGGTCAAAGTTGCGCTTGTTTACAACGGTGCTGAGCTTGGCTCTCAGTTTGCCGGCGCTTTGGTTCTCCTTTCGCTAACGCAGGGACAAAGCTTGTGGTGGGGCCACAAGGAGTCACTGGTGAGCCTGCACCGGCCACTGCAGAGGACAGGCGTTTCTGCTTGTCAGGGTTGTGCCATTCCTCCAGAATGACTTGGCGGTGTTTTCCCTCAGTTTGGAGAAAATAAATCCGAGGGAGGCACATAAGATCGAAGACACCCCCTCAGTAACGCGGACAGACCGCTTGACCCTCAGGAGCCTCCATGGCGGCTCCGTCCAAATGCAGAGTAATTTCAGTTCTCCTTTCTGTCCCTTTGTCAAGCAGGCAGTTTTCAGCAGCCCTGGAGGACCTGAACGAGGCCATCAAGCTGTGTCCCAACAACCGTGAGATCCAGCGGCTGCTGATGCGGGTGGAAGAGGAGTGCAGGCAGGTGCAGCATTTTCGCCCCCGCCCCCACTCCCGGTGGAGCCTGAGCCTGAAGCGCAGCACGAAGAGCTCTATTCCGTGCAAGATATCTTTGAGGAGGAATACCTTGAGCAGGATGTAGAAAACGTGTCCATTGGCTTGCAGACAGAGTCCAGGCCAAACCAAGGGCTGCCCATCATCCAGAGCCCGCCCCCGTCCCCAGCTCACAGGGATTCAGCCTATATTTCTGGCTCACCTCTTGGCTCTCATCAGGTCTTTGATTTCAGGTCCAATAGCTCCGTGGGTTCACCAACCAGGCAAGGGTACCAGTCCACGTCTCCTGCTCTGTCTCCGACGCACCA